CTTGGGTGCTGGCTCTCCCACCTTCTGGAGCACCAGGAACATCTCTCTGGTTGAAGCCCATGTCGTCAAGACGAGAAACCAAGCTTGGTCTGTAATCCCTGTGTGAGACTGAGGCAGGAGGATGGCCATGAATTCAAGGCCCACAGGAAGGATCCTGACCGATTGTTTAAAAAAGGAAAAAGGTTGTTGAAAAGTTCGCAGAAAGCCCCATGCTAGACCACAGGAGGAGCCTGTGGCTTCAGGAACCATCAAGGTGGATGGAGCCTCTGCCCTCAAGAGGCACCTGCTTGCTTGGCCTTCTGGTTCTGGGAGTGTTCCTCTTCCCAGGTGGTGCCTTCTTTCCACAAGCCACAAACCAGATTCTGATAAAACTGCAACCCAAAGGTTGGAAAGCCCCGGTGTACTTGGTCTCACAAAGGATATGAACCAAGACCCTGTCAGTGTACCAATATAGTTAGACAATAGCTGGGGAGAGAAAAACAACGCCCTAGACCCTGACCCCATAGTTCTCTCCTACATCAGAACATGGCTGGTCTGGGGCTCTTCAGGAGTCCTTAGATATTGGCAAGTTGTTTCTCCAAGATTACATCGAAGCCATTTCCTGTACCACCACTGGATTCACCTGAACCAGTCTTAAAAGTATGGACCTGAGCTGTCCAACCTGGTTTGTACTTTAATCTCATGTGGCGTCTGTGTGTGAAAGGCACTTTCTCCAGATTCAAGTATGCTATAAGTGCATGTCAAACACAGAGCTGATTTTGGAAAGCTAGACAAGAAAAGGAATGAAATAGCTCACATAATTCTGTTACAAATTAATCGTTAGTAATATGGACATACTGGAATGAATTCAGTATATTTAGTGTAATTATTAGAAAACTCAATTATATGTGTGACATATTTGTGGTTCATTTTATTTCTCTGCTAGACAGCACTGGGCTACATAGTAAGAGTTGGAAGAACCAACTTGGTGGAGTATGCTCATAATCCCAGCACTAGGGAGCCAGAGCCAGGCAGATCTCTTTGAGTTCACGCCAGCCAGGGAGGGCTACATTCTAAGACCAAAAAAAAAAAAATGAGCAAAGGAAAATGAGCACCTCTTCCTGAAATCTGTGTAAGAGACCAGGTGTGATGACATACACCTGTAATGCCAGCACTTTGGGAAGCAGTGAAATCACCACAATGTTAAGGCCAACCTGATCTACACAGTAAATTCCACAACAGCCAAGGGTCCAGAGTAAGACCCAGTCTTGAAAACAACCCAAACATCCATAAAAGAATGATCGGAGAACTTTCTTTTGTGCTGACTTCTTAATAGCCACTCTTAAGGAGCAGGAATGGATGAGATATTAATTCTGAAAGTCATTCAAAGCCTAGCATAGCCAAGGGGAAAGAAAGGAAAGTCCTGTGTGGAGCTCCCAGGCTGCAGGAGCATCATGTAACAAGGTCAGACCCGAATCTGGCTCTGCCCTAGAATTACTTTTTGATCTTAACAAAACAACAACAAAAACCCCACCTATCTTGGCCTTTTAGTGTTCTCGGTCTGTAGCGGAGATAAATGCCTCTGCTTTACTTTCGAAGGATAAATGAGATGATCCCTGTAAAATGCTTTGAACTCCTCTAAGAAAATTCTCAGTGATAGTTACAGGTCAAATCCTGTTACAAAAAAAACACACATGCACACATCCCCTTAAAAACACAACAAAGGCTTTGTGCAGATGACAATTTCCAAACTCAAGGCCATAGTTAAAAAAGATTTGGGCATGTTAATATCTGGGATGTAAATGAAGTGGTAAAGGACACATTTCAATGCAACCAAAGAATTTAGACTGACTCTCTAGTGATCATTTTACTAAACTGTCTTAGTCTCAGGTGTGACACTGTCAGAAGCCTGTTGAGGTAGAGGCATTGCACATTGAAGTGATGGCATCATTAGATCAACATTTTGCTGCAGTTGAGTGCTGTGAGCCACTCTGACAAGAAGACAGATCAATATAATGTATGATTTCAGAACCCCATTTAAATTTAAGTAATTTTAACCTGTTATTCACATATAGTATAGTTCATCCATGTTGATTGTCCCTAGTGTTTAGTGGAAGACTTACAGGCATTTTTTAAAAAATATAACTAACCCAAGAAAACAGCAGGATTAAAATACAGTTAAATGAGTACATCTTGCTGGGTGTTGGTGGTGCTCGCCTTTAAACCCAGCACTTGGGAGGCAGAGGCAGGTGGATCTCTGTGAGTTCGAGGCCAGCCTGGTCTACAAGAGCTAGTTCCAGGACAGCCTCCAAAGCTACATAGGGAAACCCTGTCTTGAAAAAACAAAAACAAACAAACAAACAAAAAGAGTACATCTTACCCATATTGCCTTCATTTTGGGGCAAACTAAAATATTATTTTAAAACATCAATTTACAGAGGCTGGGGAGATGGCTCAGTCACTGAAGTGTAGACCTGAGTTTGACTCCCCAACCCCTGTAATCCCAGACTAGTCCGAAGAAGCATGGAGATATCTGGGACTCAGAAACCAGACAAAACTTCAAGAGTTAGATTCAGTGAGAGAGCCTGTCTCAAAAATGAAGTAGAGGGCAATTGAGAAAGCCATCTGACATTGACCTCTGGCCTCCACACCTGTGTATACACACACACACACACACACACACACACACACACACACGAACATGTGCACACAGACACATAAATCAAGTTGCCAGCCAGGTTTGGTACTACACACCTATAATCACAGGACTCCAGGGGTGGAGGCAAGAGAGTTGGAGAGCTTGAATCCAGCCTGGGCTACCTTTTCAGAACATAAATAAAGGGGCTTAGTTTTGTTTTAGTACTGGGATTGAGCCCAGGGCCTCACACACGGTAAGCAGGTATTCTGTTACGGTGATATATCCTAAACCCTTAATTAGCTAATTAACCAAAGTACCATATGCAAATCAGACAAACTGCTTAGTTTAGGATTGACGTCTAGTACTGACAAGGTAGCTCTGTGGGTTGAGGTGCTTGTCTCCAAGCCTGTCGACCTGAGTTCCACCCCAAGGACCCACATGGAGAAAACTGACTCCCAGAGTGTTCTCTGACCTCCACACGGGTACTTATCCCTCTAAATAACTTACATATATTGAACACTTGATCAGCCACTGTCACAATAATTTTCTATATATTGATATATTGTCCTGCATATTCCTCTCCCCTCCCTGCCCTGGTTTTTTGAACACAGAGTTTCTCTGTGTAGCCCTAGCTGTCCTGGATTTCACAGCAATCTGCCTGACTCTGCCTACGTGCTGGGATTAACGGTTTCTGCCATCACTGCCGGCTATGTTCCTCTCAATGACTTTTTTTTTTTTTTCCAGAAGAGAAACTGGGGGCTTGAGTGTTTCTAAGCATTCTAAGAATAAGGTATCAAATCCAGCCAGTCTGTTTTCAAAGCTTGTATTCTAATGAGAACCTTTCCGTATACAGCAGAAAAATGGGATAAAGCATTAATCAAGGGTCCTCTAAAACCATTTGCAATTAATAAAGAACACAAATATTGTAGTTTACTTCTGACCATGAAGCTGCTCTAGTATTGAAATAAAAGCTGCTTGCAGGCAATGAAAGCTGCCTCTATTCTTGTCTTGATTACTTAAGATGATGTTTTGTATTATACGGGACTACATACGGCCATTATCTGGGAAACACACATTCTCCCCGCCCCATACCATCTCCCCCTTTTTTGCCCTTCCCTCAGCTTTTTTTTTTTTTTTTAATGTGTAGTCCAGGCTGGCCTCGAACTCCAGATCCTCCTGCCTCTGCCTCCTTCAGCAAATCCTACCAGCCTGCGCCACCAGAACCAGCCCTTCCCTCAGCTTTTTAACCCCTCCCATCTCTCTGTGTCTCTCTGTGTAGCCCTGGTTGGCCTGGAACTCACTATGTAGACCAGGCTGGCCTCAAACTCAAACATCTGCCTGCCTTTGCTTCCAGGTGCTAGGATTAAGGGCAGGTGCTATCTTGACTTTTAAAGAGCTAATTGTGAAGGCAGACCCTTAACCCTAATGCTTTTCATAATCTCTGTGCGACACTTTAAAGGAGTCTATAGGCACTAATAGGTTCCTGCGGAAGAACGTTTAACTAAAGTTTGGCAACCCCTTCACTGTGTTTCCACTTCATTTTCTTCTTTAAATTCAGTAACAATATGGGCTGATGAGATAGAGGGCTTAGTGGATGAAGATAGCTACCTCCTACCTCCAATCCTGACGACCTGAATTGCATCCCAGAGACCCTCATAGTAGAGATAATTGATCCTGAAGGTTGTCCTCTGACCTCCACACACAAGCCATGCCACGTGCACCCACATACAGACACAAATGACCTTAAACTTTAATAAATTTAGTATGTGTTACATAAACTTTTTCTTACTTACTTGGCACGTCAGGAGGTCATGAATGGCACAGTACGTGTGTGAACGTCGGAGACCAATTCACTGGAGTCAGCTCTCTCCTACCATAGGTCCCAGGGATTGAACTTGGGTCATCCATCATGCTTGGAGGCAGGCACCTTACCCACTGAGTCATAGCAAGACTCTATGAGCATTGAAAATAAATGTATCTCTCTGTGAATATGGAAAAGGGGGTATTTGAGGAAAATGCTAATTATGGTTATTTCCTGGTGACAGGAATTTTGAATTTTACTTTTAGACTTTTCTATATTACTTGAGTTTTTTTTTTTTTCCTGTAAGCATGTATCAACTTTAAGAAAGTCAATAAACCCTTTTAAAGAGAAAAATGACATCATCGAGAGCACCATGTGACAAGGAGTTTGGAGAGTTGAAAACTGGGTCAGTGCCAGAATGGGTTTCTTTGCTTACTTGTGTTTGTTCGTCATCATCATTGTTTTTGTTGTTTTTAATTTGTTTTGTTCTGAGGCAGGGTGTCATGGTGCCTTACTGGCTTGCCAGGAACTTGCTGTATAGAACTGTCTGCCTCTACCTCCTTAGCACTCAATTTAAAGACATATGTCACCATAGCCAGACTGCTCACTTGGTTTTGTTTTTAGTGTCCTCCTCATGCCTGTGTGTGTGTGTGGGGGGGTTTAAATGGGTGGGGAGG